AGAGGAGCTCACCTGTCCTGTGTGCTACGAAATCTACAGGGATCCTGTGGTCCTGAAGTGCAGCCACAGCTTCTGTAAAGTCTGTCTACAGCAGTACTGGGGAGAGAAGGGCTCTCGGGAATGTCCTGTTTGCAGGAGAAGGGCTTCTATGGATGGTCTTCTCCCTAATCTGGCCCTGAAGAATACGTGTGAGGCTTTCTTACAGGATAGAGCTCAGAGATCTGCAGCAGCTTCTGAAGCTCTCTGCCATATACACAATGAGAACCTCAAGCTCTTCTGTTTGGACGATCAGACGCCTGTGTGTGTCGTCTGTCAGACCTCAGCGAAACATGAACATCACAAACTGCGACCCGTACAGGAAGCTGCAGAAAAACACAAGGTTTGAGGAAAATGTCTTTCTTCTTGTTTTGTTATTCAGATGCATTTCATGTAGATGGATTAAAGTGGAATTTAAAAATACTACAAAAACCACCCGAGATTTTAGTCCTTAAGGCAGATTCCATCTACAATGGTTTTTTATACAATTGTTATTGTTTTTATTTTTATAATTATTATAATGAGCAATAGAAAAACTTGCTAATATTAATACTATGAGTATTACAGTTTTGTAACAGCAATTATGTAAAGAAGTAGTCTGAAAGATACAATAAAAATATACAGCATTATATAGAATAGTATTGTACTGATGCGGCATTATTTAATAGGCCATCAATTGGGTATTTTCTCAATTTTGTCTGTGTCAGGACCTGTCTTGTGAGCTCATCATTTCCCCCATTTGGCCAACAGGGGTCACTGGCCATCCTATGCAGGTTTTTGGGATAACCTGTAGGTCAGCTGTTCAAACTCAGGTGTGAGGACTCTTCAGCCAATCAGTCCTCTAATTAGTAATATGATTAGGGAGTTGCAGCAAAAACCTGCATACACAGCAGCCCTTTGCGGATAAGATTGGCCACCCCTGGTGAATATCAAAGTTCAGCTTTACAAATACATTTTCATTTATGTGACACTGTACATGGGATGCATATGAAATAAGGTAGTTTTTTAGCTCATTTAGCGCGAATCGGGGCGGAACTCCGCCAAGCGCGATACAAAGCAGAGGAGAATTGTAAATGCACGACCGTGTAGAGAGAAAAATGACAAGCTGTTGTGTAAATAAGGTAAATAACCTAAAACTATTTAATTTGTTTAATAAAAGGACAATGTATAGACCTGTTCTATAGGAAAGGTAAGCTTGAATGACTTCTGTTGTGATCTGTGAAATTAACTTGACCTTCAAGCAGGGGCGGGAGGTGCCGTTGGGGGGGCAGGGCGCCCCCCCTAATATAATGGTAGGAGAAACACTGAAGAGTACTCAGCTGGTTGGTTTCAACAAAATCATGTTCTAGATTTTTACTTTCTGGCCCTGAACTATCCACCTTTGTATCTGACACTTTTATCAAGCACAACTTACAGTAGAGTGAGTTACAATTTCAGCATTCTCTCTGGGATTTGAATCCATGAAATTTGCATAATTGGCACAATAGTCTATTAGTTGAGGAACTAGAACAGAGAGCAGTTGGGTGGAGATTCTTGGGTAATAAACATGCTGTTTCCTGCAAGATGGGAAGTCCAGACACTTGCCGAGTGCCACCATTGTCACCAATCCTTAAATACTAGGTTTGAAAACAACACTTTTGATGTAGCTACTTTTCAGTTTATAGTGAAATAATATACATTTGCCATCAGATTTTTTGCATGAGCATGACAGTCTGGAAGCATAAGTGTCACGCCAGATGCATGACAGTTGGCGACCATGAAATACACTGATAAGCAGATCGTAGTTTGATGATCACTGAAATAAAATGTTAGATATGTGAAAATGAGGATACTAGAGTTGTTATAAAAGAATTAAGAAAAATAATGCAATACAAAAAATCTGGGTATTGGCAAATAATATTTACCTTATGATTCGATTTCAATATGTTCCCCAAAAGGACAACTTTTCCTTTTTCTGGTAGGTTCCATTACTCAGCACTTGAAACCCAATAACTAGTGAAACGCACAAGGGCACCTGAAAGTTTCGCTTCAGACCAACCTGGTCTGAAAGCACCATCACAACAGTGTTACTCGTTATATTATTATAGTTTTCCCCGATCCTTCCCTGTGTCCAGGTCAGCCCTTGTCCCACCTGGTTTCCCCTCCCTGCCTTCTGTTTTGTCCCCTAGTGGACCTTTGGTTTGTACTTTTATTTGAATGTTTGTTCGTAAAATAAATTTCCTTTTAATTTACCCAAACCTATAAATGGATCATCACTCCTTCCCCATGATAAGTCATGACAGTCAGTGCTGAAATTTTATCTGTATGAGGTACATTTTTAATTCCTATTTGAGCATTTATGGGTGATAGTCAAATGCACATTATTCATTTCATCCAAGTGTTGGTGTGAATCAGCAATTAGCGAAATTATAGCCCAGTTATAACTTACTGAGCCTTTGGTGACAATGGAGCCTGTTGATAATTCCTTCAATAAATCATACTAGGATCATTCAGGAAAAGCTCAGCTCTGCCATCTCATTCATCCAGGAGGATCTGAAGTCTGCAATGAAACCTCTGCAGGAGAAGCTGAGAGCTTTGAATAAAGTACAACAAACCTGGAATAGAACAGCAGAACACATCAAGGTACAGAACTACCTACATTACAGAGTGTAAAAACAGCAGCGACATCACTGGACAGGCTGCTCTGTAACAGCAATGAGGAAACTCACTTTCATTTCAGACTCAAGCCCGGCACACAGAGAGACTGATAAAGGGGGAGTTTGAGAAACTTCACCAGTTCCTAAAGGATGAAGAGGCAGCCAGGATATCTGCACTGAGGGAGGAAGAGGAGCAGAAGAGTCACATGATGATGGAGAAGATTGAGAAGATCACAAATGAGATATCATCCCTCACAGAAACCATCAGAGCCTTAGAACAGGAGCTGGGAGCTGAAGACGTCTCATTCCTACTGGTGAGGACAGACACATGTGAATTCTGTTAGTTAAAATGAAAAGAATTTAATAAACATGATACACTGAATTTATGCAAATTACTAACTTTTGCGTCACAATGTGCCTCTCATGAATGTTTTAGGCATAGTACTAATCTGCTTACTATATCTGCTGCATTCACTCTCTTTCCACATTTTGAGTCAACCAGTGGCACTCCTATTCTCTACTTAACACCTGACTAATTAAGGCGTTTTTTGCTCGATGTATGACGACATCTGTGCCATACATCAGCACAGTAACTGAATAAAGCCTTTGGCACCTGCATGCAGCAGTGATACTCCAACAGACCTGGGGGATGTTCCCCGAAGCAGGATTTCTCGCTGGATAACTTATTGGATTTAACATAGTCTGGGCTAAATGAACTTTATCTTCGATCACTTACATTTAGCTCAGACTACCTTAAATGTGACAAGAAATCCGTCCACAGCCGTCCACAGCTAACCCCTGATGACGAAATTAACATCACTTACCCTCGTCTGCAGTCGAAGGCACCTACAGAAAAGTATGATTTGGCCTTAACTAAATTCCTTTGCCCCCTCAAGTAAAGTGATAAACATTGTTGTTCTTCATTTTGTTTCAGAATTATAAGGAAACACAGAGAAGGTATGGAAACCCTTTTTTGTCTTTTACTGGTTTGGAGATCCCCACAGAATCACCTGTACATGTGATGATGTGCACCAATCAGGGAGCTGTACATGTGATGATGTGCACCAATTAGAGAGCTGTACATGTGATGATGTGCACCAATTAGAGAGCTGTACATGTGATGATGTGCACCAATTAGTGAGCTGTACATGTGATGATGTGCACCAATTTGAGAGCTCGGATGGCTTCTTGTGGCTGAGGTTGAGATCGGGGTGGGGGGTGAAATATATATTGTTAGTCTCTGTTAGCTTCTCTGGTCATGATCTCACCGGAGCATCATCACTGAAGGCTGAACATTGTTACAGAGCCCAGTGCCCAGTGCGGGATCCAGAGGAGATCTCAGGAGCCCTGATTAATGTGGTAAAACACCTGGGCAACCTGAGCTACAGAGTGTGGGAGAAGATGCTGGAGAAGAAAGAGATTAAATACAGTGAGTAGAAGATGTCAGAATAGAGCAGTTCCATAATCTCTCTGTGCAGAGGGAGTTGTTTGAATTCTAATGTTTCTCTGTTTCCATTCAGCTCCTGTGATTCTGGACCCAAACACAGCAGGTGTCCGTCTGACACTGTCTAAAGATCTGACCGCTGTTACCTGGAGTAATGAGATACTGGAATATCCTAATAACTCAGAGAGGTTTACATGGCCCAGTGTGCTGGGATCTGAGGGATTCAGCTCAGGGAAACACTGCTGGGATGTAGATGTGGGAGATGGAGTTACCTGGAGGCTGGGTGTGGTTAGGGAGTCCATTAAGAGGAAAGGTCATTTCTCTCTCTTCGCAGAAGGGGACGTATGGAGTATAGAGCTGCGCAATGGCAAATACCGAGCAATGACTTCACCATCTGCCCTTCTTTCTGTGGTGAGGAAACCCCAGAGGATTAGAGTGCAGCTGGACTGGGACAGGGGAGAGCTGTCACTCTCTGATCCCAGTAACAACACTCCTCTCTACACTTTCAAGCACACTTTCACCGAGAGGCTGTTTCCATTCTTTGGTACCTGGGATTACAGGGTTCCTCTGAAAATCTGCCCAGCAAATGTTTATGTTTCCATTTGAGCACTAAAATCATAACAACAAATTAATTCATTCATTCATTCTCCACTGTTTATCTGGGGTCAGGTCTCTGGGGCAGCAGTCTAAGCAGGGATGCCCAGACCTCCCTCTCCCCAGCCACCTCCTCCAGCTCCTCCAGGGGCATACCAAAGCATTCCCAGGCCGGTGAGTGAAATACTCTTTCCAGCATGTCCTTGGTCTGCCCCTGGGTGTCCTGCCAGGTGGACATGCCCGAAACATCTTCCCAGGGAGCATACCTTGATAGATGACCGTACTGCCTCAACTGGCTCCTCTCAATACGGAGAAGCAGCAGCTCTACTCCTCCCCCCTGCTGCAGGTCACAGCCTGATGAAGCCAACAGGACCATGTCATCTGTAAAAAAGCACTGATGCTTTCCTGGGGTCACGAACCAGACCACCCCCCCGTCCCTTGGCTACACCTAGAAATTCTGTCCATAAATCCTATGAACAGAATTGGTGACAAAGGGCAGCTCAAGTAGAGTCCAACACCCACTGGGAAAGAGTCTGATTTACTGCCAATAATGTGAACCAAACTCTTGCTCCAGTTATACAGGAAGCTAATGACCCCCTTTGGCCCCGACAATGGACCCCAAACCCCCTATTCTGGAGCCCCCCCACAGGACCCCTCCAGGGACACAATCTTTGTCTCGCAGAAGAAAATCCGACAATACAATTATAAAATCAATCATCACGCTGCAGCCTTGGGTGCTCTGGTGCCAGCTACACGTTTGGGCACCTTATGTTTGAACTTAATGTTAGTTTCGGACAAACTGTGATTACCACAGAAATCCTGTAACTGGTCACCGCTTCGGTCCAGATCGGCCAGGCCATTCCTCCCAACCACACTCTTCCATGTGAGTATTAAAGTCCCCCAGCAGAACAGTAGAGTCTCCAACAGGGGCACCTTCCAGCACCCCTACCAAGGTCTCCAAGAAGATACTCTGAGCTTGGTGTTCTATGCATAAGGACAGACAGCAGCCAGAGCCCATCCCCCAACTCAGAGTTGAATAAAGGTGATTCTCTCGTTCATCAGGGTGAACTCCAACGTACTGGCACCAAATCGGGGAGCTATACGTAGACCAACACCTGCCTATTGCCTGTCACCATGGTCAACTCCACAGTGGAATGGAATCCAGTCCCTCTCCAGGAGTTTGGTTCCAGAGCCCGAGCCATGCGTTGAGGTGAGCCCGACTTTATTAAGTCGGTATCTCTCTACCTCCCGCATCAGCTCAGGCTCCTTTCCCACTTGAGAGGTTATGTTCCATATTCCTAAGGCCAGATTTGGTAGCCAATGATCGGTACACTGAGGCCCCTGCCTTCGACTGCCACCTGTTCTACATAGCACCTGACCCCCATGGTTCCACCATGGTAGTGGGCCCACAGGAGGGCAGACCCATTGTGTCAGGCTATACTCAGCTGAGCCCCATGGGTAGACCCAGCTACCAGATACTCGACAGTGAGCTCCCACAAAAACCTGGGTCCTTCTGTAAATCTTCCTGTGGGGTCTATGTGAATTGCAATTTGCCTGGCCGCTCACCTAGGACCAGTTTGCCTTGGGAGACCCTAACAGGGGGAAATTGCCCCCGACAATATAGCTGCTAGGAATACAGAGGCACTCAAACCCCTCCACCACAAGGTCACTATTTGTGGAGGAGTATGACCGTTATTTTCCGTTAAATTCCAAACCATATTTCATATTTGTTCAGACAGCAGATTCATCTTAAATATTTATACTTCACGAGTCGTAAATAACTGCGTACAAATGTTACTGCAGTGCCGGTGCCGTCTCTCTTTAAAATCGAGTGTAAATGCCAGTTGGTGTTTCTTACTCTAACATGCACTGTGACCGGCGCATTTTTAACAGCATGTCATCATGCGGCAGGTCATGGCGGTTGCATCACTTCCTGTACATCAAATGACTGACATGAGCCTGAATTAAGGATGACGGCCAAACCCAAACGCTTGTATATCCTCCTGAGACCCAAGGAAAAAAGTGTCCTTCAATTTTAGGTTATTTGTCTTTGGAGGAAATAAGACAACTTACAATTTAGATTTTTTCAAATTCATTTTTATTTTTAATTTCACAGCATGTCCTCTTTAGTGTACAACAGGAGTAAATATGTTTCCTTACATCAGTGAAAAGAGATGCAAAAACAAAATGTCCACTACAATGGACATACATGCATGAATGGGTGGGGTCTCAGGAGGATAGAGAAATTCTTCAAAGAAACTGAGGTCTAGATTGACCCACTTCTTCTTCAGAATGAGATTCATACACATTTAGTGCAGAGCTCATTTATTTATGGACATAATGTCTGTCCTGAATGTAGGTTTTGTTCATGTATCTAATACAGTAACTGGACAGGATGGCAATGCTACTGGGGAATGTGCATTTTTCAACATGGAGACCAGTAAAAGCTTCATTTACCTCCTCTATTGCTGGTCCAAGGTTTTTAAATGCAACTTCTACAACATTACTGTGACACCAGAAATTTAAACCTTTTTGCAGTATGAACAGCAGGGGGCGCTGAAGTGAAAGAGAAAATGAAGTTTTTTTCTCTAAAATGCTATTCCTACCACTACAAGGTCCCAGAAGCCTCGAAGATGCATTCAGTGGGAATCCTATAAATGCTGTCCATGAGTACAAAACATGGACAATGTTTCACTGTTTGTAGTCAAAGAGCAATTAAGAGTGTTAATGTTTTGCATCTGCACATTCTTAACCTTAAGAAATCTTTTTATAAAAGTGTTATACTAGCCATGTTCATTTCATATGGGTATGTGTGTGTGTGTGTGTGCACATAGTTGATTGTTGTTGCCAAGTTTGGACTCTCTTTGCTTGTCACTGTTCACACTAATTAAAGTTTACCTGTTCTGCTTAATGGATGTCTTCATCATAATGTTATTTTTGAGAAAGTTCTAGTTTTAAAATCTACAATACAAAATTTTTATTGCTTCAAAGCCATTTGAAATGGCGATTACTTTCAAAATGTGTGTAGGTCAAAGGAACTATATTCCGTATGAACTGTTCAAGTGCTGATTCCCATTCAGTCACATCAGTTACTAATAGAAAAAAACCAAACAGGCAGTTACATTTTTGATAAATATTAATGTCAAATTGGAACCACGAAGGAGACTTCAGACTTGACTCGGACTCTAATTTTGTGACTCGTGAGCATCTCTGCAATGCTCCAGCCTGTGTCTTTCAGCTTCTGGGTTCAAAGCCTGTGGTGAGCAGACACCTTGGGTCCTGGAGCACGGCCGATAACCCCAGCCACTAGGGGGAAGCAGTGCTGGCTGACCCTGAGCTCTGACCCCAGAGCTTGCCCTGCCTTGAATATACATGTGTGTCTCATTGAGAGTAAGATGTGAAATTTGAAATAGAATGTGAAATAGAAAACTGAAAATTAAATACTAAAATGCTAATAAGATTAAAGAAATGAACATTGCCTAAGTGTAATCCTAGCGACTTTTAGGTATTTTGTGTTCAGTAAAAGAACATAGTGAAAGTAAAAGTAGAATGAGGAGCCGTAACTGTGCTGAGAGTCAGAGTGACTGCCCTGCTGTTAACCTTGGTTTCCTGGTATAACAAGATCACTGTGCCTATGATTAGGTTTTTATCTTTTACATTTGAAACGACTACATTTGCATGTGCTACATGCAAATTTGGGACTTTTTAGTAAAAAAAAGAATCTATGACCTGTTTATCCTTCATAGACCGAATGATTTCTACTGCTGTGATGGAAGTAACACTAAATGCTTTGTTTATTTGTTTCTGAATGACTTTGCTGGTCGTAATCTGGACATTTCAGCAGATGTGATAATGTTCACTGCACCCCTACTTGGTCCTATGAACCGTCCTCAGTGCCGGTCATTAGTGCCACGCCTCCACTCTCACGTTACGTTTTAAATGCGCTTCATTGAATAGAAGCTGCTCGTTCCCACTTTTATTAACAATTATGGCTGAGGTACCAGTGTGCGGGTTCGGCCACAGTTAGTCGTTAGTCTGTGCATTGTTCGAGAGACTAAGTAACAGAGTTTCACAAGGAAGTCAGTCTGATTCCACATTCTTCCTCCCCCACGGGAACGCATTCTAGATACGGGATCTTCCGCAGGCGATACGCAATTCTAAGCCAGTCATACTAAAATACGTCAGGCCTTTACCACTCAGGGTGTAACCGAAGCTGTATTTAACAGGAATAGTCACGACCCGTTATATTTATTTCTAAAATAAACTGGATACGAAACTGTCCAGTTTGTAGGGGAAAGTCTCCTATGGATACTTGTCACACTGACCTGACTCCGAGATCTGCAGCAGCTTCTGAAGCTCTCTGCCATCTGCACAATGAGAAATTCAAGCTCTTCTGTTTGGACGACCAGACACCCGTGTGTGTCGTCTGTCAAACCTCAGAAAAACATGAAAATCACAAATTGCGACCCACAGAGGAAGCTGCAGAAAAACACAAGGTTTGAGGAAAAAGTCTTTTTTCTTGATTCCTAATTATATTTAGGTCGATGTATTAAGGTTTAAAACTTAAAACCTAAAAAGGATTTTAAAAACATGACAAAAGCCACCTGAGATGTTTGTATGTCCCTTGAGATAGATTCCATGTATAATTTATTATCATTTATGTTATAGGACTAATTCTAATGTACAATAAAGAGTATAGCTACCTCTTCACGTTTGTGAAAGATCGCAGAAAGTCGTAGAGGACGCATAAGCCAAACAGAATTCTGCAAATTATTAAATTATTTGGATCACTTGAAGTCCAAATATGGTATTTAAATATTAGTAATACATATTATCCATGTTACTGTAAGCGCATACTAGATCACGTGGTATAGTGGGGATTTTTTTTCCCAGTGGGGGAGCCCTATATTGATGACGTCATTACAAAAATATACATATACACATGTCATAAAATCATATACAAATACAGAAACTACTTACGCTTATTATAAATTACTATACGCGCTTTCTATAAACCATTTAAATTGCGCCCCTATATGTACAAAGTTAAAACTGTACCCACTGGGAACACTACATTTTGGGCTCTTGATTAAAAATGCTAAATTAACGCCGCTGAAAAGTTTAACGGTTACCGCAAAAAAGCAATATATCATGGTCACAAAGACAGTTAATGTATTCTTCCTAATAATACGTAGCTAACTGCTGATTTGTAACAGAGGGAGGAGCGGGTACGTAAATAAGTGGTTAGAAAGGAGAAGTTGTACTCTGCTGTACAGAGTACAGATAGAATATTACCGATGTCATGTTGCCTTTGAACGTTCTGATTGTCCCGAGATCAATGCGTCCCTGGGTCAGCAAGGCAGGGGCTTCCGTTTCACTTCTTTAACCAATCACAGTCTTCATTGTATGACATCACCACATTAATCAAAACGGGTGTTTTCTGTTAAGCAGCAAGGTGCACAGATTTATAAAGTATACTTTTGTATGCTTATATGCTTTTTGTTAAGGGACATGTCATACATACGAAACAGGAACATGTTTACCTGCAAAGGCTGTATGACGCAATGTAAGACTTGCACCACCCAGGCTCAGTGGCTGAAAGCCTTTACCTTTGAAATGAGAACAAACCGACTAATCTGGTGATGTCATAAAATGAAGACTGTGATTGGTTAAAGAAGTGAAAGGAAAGCCCCTACCTTGTTGACTGAGGGACACATTGAACTCAGGGGAAATCTAGATGTCCCATTGGCTTTAGTGAATCTGCATTTAGTCAAAATGTAACCCAGTTATAACTAACCGAGCCTTTGGTGGGAATGGAGCCTTTTGATAATTCCTGTGCAATAAATCGTACTGGGATTGTTAAGTAAAAGATCATGTCTCATTCATCCAGGGGGACCTGAAGTCTGCACTGAAATCTCTGCAGACAAAGCTGACAGATTTCAATGAATTACAACAGACCTGTATCCAAACAGCAGAACACATCAAGGTACAGAACTACCTACATTATAGAGTGTAAGGACAGCAGTGACATCACTGGACAGGCTGCTCTGTAACAGCAATGAGGAAACTCACTTTCATTTCAGACTCAAGCTTGGTACACAGAGAGACTGATAAAGGGGGAGTTTGAGAAACTTCACCAGTTCCTAAAGGATGAAGAGGCAGGCAGGATATCTGCACTGAGGGAGGAAGAGGAGCAGAAGAGTCACATGATGAAGGAGAAGATTGAGAAGATCACAAACGAGATATCATCCCTCTCAGAAACCATCAGAGCCTTAGAACAGGAGCTGGGAGCTGAAGACGTCTCATTCCTACTGGTGAGGATGGATCACAACTGGATTCAAGTGGTTAAAATATAGATGTATCTAGTAAAGCTGATATTAATCTTCTTTACTCCCTTTCAGAAATATAAGGACATACAGAGAAGGTAAGGAAACTTCCCTTTTTAACTTTTACTGGTTTGGAGTCAGTGACTCAGAATTGCAGTAAAATGGGAGTCAGTGTGAGATCCCCACGGATTCACCTGTACATCATGTGATCATGTGGACCAATCAGGGAGCTTGGATGGCTTCTTGTTGCTGGGGCTGAGATCTGGTGGGGGGTGAAATATATATTGCTAATATCTGTTAGCTTCTCCGGTGATCTCACCGGAGCATCATCACTGAAGGCTGAACATTGTTACAGAGCCCAGTGCCCAGTGCAGGATCCAGAGGAGGTTTCAGGAGCCCTGATTAATGTGGCCAAACACCTGGGCAACCTGAGCTACAGAGTGTGGGAGAAGATGCTGGAGAAGAAAGAGATTAAATACAGTGAGTAGAAGACGTCAGAATGGAGCAGTTCCGTAATTTCTCTGCACAGATGGAGTGTTTTGAATTCTAATGATTCTCTCTGATTCTATTCAGCTCCTGTGATTCTGGACCCAAACACAGAAAATGTCTGTTTCACACTGTCTGATGATCTGACCGCTGCTACCTGGAGTAATGAGATACAGGAATATCCTAATAACTCAGAGAGGTTTATATGGCCCAGTGTGCTGGGATCTGAGGGATTCAGCTCAGGGAAACACTGCTGGGATGTAGATGTGGGGGATGGAGTTACCTGGAGGCTGGGTGTGGTTACAGAGTCCATCAACAGGAAAGGGCTTTCCCCTCTGATGCCAGAAGGGGGCGTATGGAGTATAGAGCTGCATAATGGTAAATACAGAGCAATGACCTCACCACCAGTCCCTCTGTCTGTGAGAAGGAAACCCCAGAGGATCAGAGTGCAGCTGGACTGGGACAGGGGAGAGCTGTCATTCTCTGATCCCAGCAATAACACTTCTCTCTGCACTTTTAAACATATATTCACTGAGAGGCTGTTTCCAGTCTTCTGTGCCTGGGGTGACTGGCTTAATCTGAAAATCTGCCCAGTGGATGTTTCCATTACAGTGGCAGCAGTAAATCCTTGATCTGTTACCTATAGAGTTGGTTACATTAAGTTAAACGTAGAGAAAAATACTAATTTTCGAAAAAAATCAAGCTGCTGATGAATCTGCAGGGGGACGGTTTTGAACCAGAACACAGGCAGTATAGTACAGTACAGTACATTTTACAGGAGGATAAATGTACCCTTTTACGGTTGGTCGGCATGATTCCTAGGTGTGAACAAGATGTGTTTAACAGTCAGTATGAAATGAATCAGTCAAATTATTATTTAAACTAGAAATGATGCTGTCAGAACAACAACAATGTATTCTGCAGACAGCCCTGTAACCCCCCCTCCCCCCATTTAATCCTTACTCCCGACACCCCCCAATCTCTATAATTCCTGTCAAAACTGGATGGATCAACTGTAAAATGTGAAAGCCAATAAATGTCATTTTACCCAAATGCTCACAAGTCCTACTTGTGACACATAACTCTGAAATTACAACTATTCATTTATTGCACATTCCACTTACATGCTAATTTGCACAATCTTTCCTCACCAATTAAGTGGTTAACTGTACTTCTTTATGCATTTCTTAATTCAATGTCTAAAAATGTAATAAAAAATATTACTTTTATTTATTTGTCTTAATATTTCTGTTCTGTTTATTACTTTCCCATGTGCAGTTTCTGGGCAGGGATGATGTAAAGCTCTGAAAATCGAGTGTAAACGCCAGTTGGTATTTGTTATTGTGACATGCACTGTGACCGGCGCATTTTTAACAGCATGTCATCATGCAGCAGGTCGTGGCGGTTACATCACTTCCTGTACATCAAATCACTGCCATGAGCCTGGATTAAGGCTGACGGCCAAACCCAAATGCTTGTCTAGAGAAATTCTTCAAAGATACTGAGGTCCAGATTGACTCATTTCTCCTCCATAATGCAATTGACACACGTTGACTGCAGAGCCCGTTTATACATCTAATACTGTATCTAATACTGTAACTGAAGAGGAAGGGAATGCTGCTGGTGGAATGTGCCCATGCTACAGGTGCCATTTGATGGAGGTGCGAAAGAATGAGTGAAGAGAATCAGAGGAGATGCCTTTGGGTTGCATTCCATGACATTACAGTTAATGTCATTAATTCTATATCAGCACGTTCCTTGAGAATTAGCTAGCTAATTAGCAGCCAGACCACATGTGCTGCTGAAATGGTTTTAATATAAATGAATTGACACAAAGTTTGTCTTCAGCTGCTCTGGGGGATAGGTGGGGGCATTGCGGGGGGGGGAGGAATTCAGCAGAATCACGCATATGGGCGCCAGAACACACAGGGCAAACCTGTTTTCCAACATGAAAAACAATCAAAGGTTCATCCTATAATACTGGTCCTGGCTTCTTTGGAAGTGGCAATTCTGCTCTTTCAGGAACTCCTGCATGACACCTGGGCGTGTCCCACGTGTGCTTCACAGGCAATATAATCACAATAAAGCTATTCCTAACCTCTCAGTGATCAGATGGTGTTATTGTACTGACAGTCAGAATGTCACTCTGAAGAAATGGCGACCAGGTCCTCTGTGCTGGAAGAGGAGCTCACCTGTCCTGTGTGCTACGAAATCTACAGGGATCCTGTGGTCCTGAAGTGCAGCCACAGCTTCTGTAAAGTCTGTCTACAGCAGTACTGGAGAAAGAAGGGCTCTCAGGAATGTCCTGTTTGTAGGAGAAGGTCTCCTATGAATCCACCTATCCCTAGTCTGGCCCTGAAGAACATATCTGAGGCTTTCTTACAGGACAGAGCTCAGAGATCTGCAGCAGCTTCTGAAGGTCACTGCCATCTGCACAATGAGAAACTCAAGCTCGTCTGTTTGGATGATCAGACATCTGTGTATGTCATCTGTCAGACCTCAGCAAAACATGAACATCACAAACTGCTGCAGGATGCTGCAGAAAAACACAAGGTTTGAGTAACATTTTTTTCTGTTGTATTTCTTATTCATAAAATTTAGTGTTAAATAGGTTAAATTAAAGTGATTAAAAACTATTAAAAACCCTGGTTTTTGGTTAGCACTGTGCATAAGTCTTAGGCAGCCAGAGAAAATGATGTTTAAATGATCTTCATGTTGGTGTAAAATTATGCTATTATGCCTGTCAAACTGTGTCAGTTTATCCATTTTGAAAAATCTGCTAAACTCACCCCAGTATTTGCAGCAGCCATCTAATACACCCACGGATTTCTTGACTCAACCACTAGCACAGCTGGTCTAGCTAATCAGTACCTCATTGACTTTTCGAACTTAAGTTTGAAATGTAACAAACACACGGAACGGCTGAGGTGCCCCTGAGGAGAGGTTTGGGATCTGAAGCGTGGTTCATCTAGCCATCAAACTACATATCAGTAACGTTTTCGAGAACAGAAGAAATTCTTGCCAGTCTTTATTGTGTTATTCTTAATCTGCAAATGTTTAAATGCTAAATTGTGCTCGTTGTTCTGAGCAAACGTGCACTTACTACTCAAATAAATAGCTTTAAACTTACTACCTATCCCTCACCCCAGAGGTTCTTCCACAACCAGATGTTGAAGTGCTGCCCCAATACCTGAGAGAACGAATCATTGGGGGTTGATTTTCACTCAAATCACCCCTTGGTCGGGGGGTGTGGAAACCTAGTCCATAGGACCCTTTGAGGAAGAGAAATTTCCCTTTGGTGACTCCCACGCATGATGAATGCACATGTTGGAAGCATTGCAAATACAAAGTGTGGAGACTGGAGAAGTGTTTAAAATTTACTATTGTATCATGAACATTCCTTTGTATTCGAGTTACATTCATTTTCGTTAACAAAATGGTGATACTGAGCATGCTTAGGCAAGATCAGAAGAAATATTTGAAGGAAATTATCAATGACTTCTAACCGTGATTTTCCATGAGCAAATTAACCATTATTTAGATATTTGAAAGTGTAATATTTGTTTTTTGTAATGGATTTTGTTTTCAAATAACATATTGACACATTTCAATGTGGATCGGTGATCATGCTCATTAATAGTTTATTTAGACATTTTATTTATGGTAAGATAAATTGAAACATTGCAAAAAACCAGGAAAAGAAAAATGTGGGAGGGGGGGGCATAAAAGCTTCTATTTCAGTGATGATGTCATACGTAAAAACGGACCATGGTTCGTCAACGAGGGTGCAAGTGTGTCCCATACCGCTTTTTGTACTTGCTACTTTCCTCGCTCACTCACTCCTTTCCTCGTCAGTTTCATGAACTTACAACTTTAGACAAACAATGGCAAGAGCCATTAAAAAAAAAAAAAAAAGATTTGGGATGCAGCCATTGACTCTGCTTGTGTTTGTGCCTAATAGGCTGTATTTGACCGGAACCTGGTTTGAGCCTAATCGACTCTTGAATAACTAACGACTTGGAGAACTGGTTTTGAGTTTCTGGAGAAAAACTCACCGACTGGATTGCTACCATTTGTAATACAGGAATGGCCCTGTCATGCGGAATGTCTTCCACGGAACAAATTCCTACCTCCTGCTGTGTGTCGATCAGCTGTTTTGCCGACGTAATATCGTAATTACTCAATCCTAAATTCCAAGTTAAAACGTGACGTTTCGCAAGTTAACTCTTACCGCGACAGCCAGCACTAACATTAATTCATAAAAAAAACGTTTATATGAAATTTTCTTTTCTTTTTAAGTGTTTTAAAGTATTACACGTAGATCGGTATATCAAAATCCATAATGGACACCCCCTTTGCATTTACAGCATTCAGCAGACACTAGTATTCAGAGCACCTTCCAGTTTCAACTTTGGATTAAGGGTCTTGTTTAGGGAGCCAATGCTAGTATAGGTGGGACTCAACCCCACAACCTCTTGGTTCAGAGGCAAGCATCCTAACCACTAGAGCACCAACACAACCTCTTTTTCATGCACCTACCACTGGGAAAGTTTTTTGCTGGAAGTAGTCCCATTCCCAGTTGCATAAAAAGTAAATACTTTAGCAGTATTGAGATGCATCAAAAATCATTGTGCAGTTCAATTATTGACAGACCAAATGAATTAAACAACAAACCACCCTTTCTTATAGATTCCATTACAATCATTTTATTGGTCCTATTACAATTTATGTGATGCAGTGAGCAACTACGGAAAAACAATGTTAACTGCCTGTTGGCCCTAAAATAATGCAGCTAGTACTAATATAACTATTTTTTTAATAAAGTATTTAACATGTGGCCCCTATCTGTTCTGTGACATTTGGGCCATATTTGTCTAATCACAGGTGGGCCACTTTTGGCATACATCCGTTTGCCGGTGCCGGAACCGGGCCAGCAGTGCCACACATTTGCCAGAAGCGGCCCACATCTGTATGCTATCTGGGATGGGACTTTGGTTAGCATTGTTGCCTTCTGCCTTTGGGACCAGGATTCAGGTGTCTGCCATG